TGTAAGTTGTGGTTTTTAAAGCTGATGGTCACTTGTCTAAGAATGAAAAATTGTTTTAAAAAGCTGATGAAATCTAGGCAGTTTCCTACTATAAATACCTTGGGGTTGTATTTTCTTGTCGACTTCTATGGTCGACAGCAACAAAAGTTTTAGCACAACAAGCCAAAAAGGCCATGTTTGTCATTATGAGAATAAGTGACAAAACAGGTTACCTTAATTAGGTTGTATTTTTTAAACTTTTTGATTCTAAGATTTTGCCAATTTTTACATATGGTGCTGAAATGTGGGGGTTTCGACAATATGATTGCCTCGAACGAATCCAGTTTCTTGCTTGTAGGTATTACCTTGGTGTCACACAAAAATCCCCAAACAGTTGTTTATTAGGTGAGCGTGGGAGGTATTACATTTTTCGGTATACCGCGAAACGCTGTGCAAAATATTGGGCAAAATTAATTAACATGTCCCATAATAGATATCCCCGTAAATGTTATGATATACTTTACAGTATAGAAGAGTCTGGAGTTAGAAGTAAGAATACATGGATCACTGATATAAAGAATTTGTTGTTAATTTGTAATATGCAAACATTTTAGTACAGTCAGGAAGTTAACAATACAAGCACGTTTATGGAAATATTTACTGTTAGATTTAAATGTTAATTGCAGCATAACTGGCTAATATGTACGTTTGAGAAACTCGTAACATATCACCAATTTAAAAAAGAGCTACAGCGGGGAAAATATCTTACTTCAGTCACAATAAACTCCCACAGAAAAACCTTAGCACGTTTTCGTTATTCTCCGCATAGCATGCGCAATGAAACTGAAAAGGGAACTCTTGAGAGACCAGCGGCTTTGTAAAGTCTTTGATACAAATCAAATTGAAAACGAATACCAATTGTATCTTCCAAAAAACCACTTCACAAAAACTTCACAAGAAACCAATATAATTAAAAGATTGGCAGCCTATGCTTTTCACACATTGAAACTTAGAAGCGATATTGCTGATTTTTTTGTAATTTAAGAATATTTATGTATATATGGCCTTGAACTTGTAAATAAAGACCATATATATATAATACCAGTGTTGTTCAATTTGGTGTTTAGGGGCTTGTCTGTTCGGCCACGCCACCAACCCATAAACCTTCGGTCTTTTCCAAGTTAATTTTTGCGTTTGATGCACGCCCATAAATTTGCAACCAGTAGTTCAGTATGTTGAAATCTTGATTTCGAGTGAATAAAATCTCTACGTCATCCGCATAAGCTGCAAGTTTACAGTGTTTACCATCAGTTCCAGGTATCACAATATCCTGAATTTGACTATCATTTATGATTTTGTTCAGATGCAGCTCAATGGCAAGAACATACAACTGTGTAGAAAGGGGACAGCCTTGTCTAATGCCCCGTATCAGGGATAGTGGTGCAGCAAATTAATGCCTTTGCATTGTGGTATAAAAGCTGAATATATGAAATGAAAGTGTTGCCAAACCCAAAAGGGTGTTCATGAAGTACGACTGGTTGACTCTGTCGAAAGCTTTTACTTGATCTAGCGCCACAATGCCAAGGGGGGTGTTAGACATGTTACACAGATCAATGCTATCGCGCAGTACGTTAATATTGTCATTAATATGACGACTAAGGATACTACAGCTTTGATCGGGATGAATGATGGTGCCTAATACAGAGCGAAGTCGCAGTGAAATTGTTTTTGTGAGTATTTTGTAGTCGCTGCTCAACAAGCTTACTGGTCTCCAATTTGTTTATATCTGAGCAGTCGCTCTTCTTAAGAAGGAGATTAATGACAGCTCGCAAAGGAAGAAAGCCATCACTGATGGAATACATGACAACTGAATGAAAATTCTTACCAACTATAGACCAGAATTTTTGGTAGAACTCATTGGGCAGACCGTCAATACCTGGGGAGCGCCCCTAGGAAGTTGCTTAAATGTGTTGCTAAGATCATCAAACGAGATCTCCTAATCGAGTGCAGTACAGTCATCTTCACTAATCTGTGGCAAATCCTGTAAAATTAAGTGTTGTGCATTTATATCAATGGTTTCGGGTGTGTACAATTTTTTCGTAAAATTGGCGAATAAGTTGACGTATTTCGTTTGGATTCTCAGTCAAGCTAGTGTCTTGACG